TTGTTTTGTTAATAAAAGAGATGCGAATTAAAATAACAGATTTCACTTCAAATCCAGCAAATGGCTAAGATGACAAAGGGCTTCATCTCAGAATTTTCACCTAAAATAGGAAATTCATGCTGATAATTTTGTTTCTCTGAGCAATATGAAAAGGCTGAGTCAACTTGACTGATATTCAAATACCTGTGGCTCCAGGGAGTCTAGGTAGTTTAACACATACCCTCCCCCAACCCCCAAGCCATTCTGTTCTAGCATTTAAAATATCTTTGATATTTTAATAATGAATGTCTTTAAAGTCATTTCCAAGAAACTTCATTTTTATCCAGGCTATGGTGATCTGAGGAGATCTGTAATTTGTAAAATCCTGGCAACTGCCAGTCTATCAATGAACAGAGTATAGTAGCTATACAAAGAAGATGTGGGTGGAAACCATTATTTCTTAGTCATTTTACAGAATCAACCTCTTAAATATATCTTTGACAGCTCTCATGTCAACCCATGGGAAAGAAAACATTCAAAACACATTATTGACAAGATATATGATGTCATTCCTTTCTAAATAAACCTTTGAGAGCTAATATATATAACACTTCACCAAACAACTCAGATACTTTATATATGTATATGTTTTATATATATATGTTTTAAAAACACTTTGAAAACTAGATATTACATAATCACAATAAGATTTAAATCTTAGAAGCCATTTTCTTTCAAAAATGCCGACAGGAAAATTGTTCTACTTCATGGGAGAAAATTAGTCTACAAAATCTTATTATTCAGCTCTCAAAGTTTTCATTGTTTGTCAAGTTAAAATAGACATTTCCTTCCCAGAAGTTAAAAATGAGCCAAAATGAAGGTAGCCCAACCCTAGGCTCTAGTTCCCATACTGCCACTTACTTCGTGACTAAAAAGCATTTAAAAAGCGACCAGTCATGGGCTACTTTTCTGTAACACTGCCTATCTCTTAATGGGGTAAATCAATCTCTCAATCTCTCTCTCTCTCTCTCTCTCTCTCTCTCTCTCTCTCTCTCTCTCTTCTCCCCATCTCCCCAGCTTGCTAGTCGTTATCTGTTGTCTTAAGGCCTTTCCAGATAACTTGTCTCTTTAACGTGGAGTCCCTGGATTTTGATAATCTGTTCATTCAGTGGAGTAGTTTTCCACTGAAGGACTGCATAATGTTATGACTATATTTCATTACTTCAATAATGCCCTTGTCTTCCACCTTTGAATTCCCTTCCCCTTAATGTTTTTACCATTCCTGCTCTGCCTGTTAATCTTGAGCAACCACTACAAACCTACTTTCTTCCACTTCTGCTTCTAAACTGACAAATGAAAACATGCTCTCACTAGGTCTACTACAACTTTAGGTTATTTAACGTCAGATGGGCTCTTTATGCCCTGTGGCAATTTTTTTTAGTCGTAATTTATTGTTATATAAATTTCCTACAATTTTCACAAACCTTCTCCTCTTTCCAGGGAGCTAGGCAGTACAGTGGATCAAACACTGAGTTTGGTGACAGGAAGACTGAGTTAAAATTTGGCCTCAAACACTAGCTAAGTGATCCTGGACAATCATTACACTTCAGTTTCCTCATCTGCAAAGTGGGGGTAATAATAGCACCTACATCCCAGAGTTGTTGTGAGGATTAAATGAGATAATTCTTGCAAAGCACTTACTACAGTGCCTGGCACGTAGTAAACACTACATAAATGCTCATTCCACCCCACCCTCCATCCTCACCCCAAGCCCTCAACTCCTCTTTTCCCTCCCTATCTCTCTCAGCTGGCAATCTTATTTCTTACTTTACTGAAAAGATGAAGGCTTAGAGGAATTCCTTCAAATTTCCTTTAAATCTCTTAGTGTTCCCACCCATCTTTTCATTCTTCTCTCTAGTCTCAGAGCGTTTGGCCTTCTTTCCCTGGCACAGCTAAACCTGCACTCATGATCCTATATCCTATATCCCCTCCTGTTTCCTCTCTGTAAACCTTACACTGCATCACTCATTCTCTCTTTTAGAAATCTTCAGTTTCTCTCTCCAACAGCTCCTTCCTTTCAGTCTACAAATACGTTCAATCCTATAATGTTATGACTATGACAATAAACCTCTCGGCACACACAGCTAATCATCAAACAAATTAAAACTTCAAGGAACCTTACAGGTGTATTTAGTTTAACCTTTTCATTTTACAGATGAGGGAACTGAGGCCCAGAGATGACAAGAGAATTGTCCAAAGTCATAGCTAAAAGAGGCAGAGGACTCAGATTCTCTGATTGTAAATCCAGTGATTATAACACTTCACGAATCTTTTTAATACCTCTTGCATCCATGCCCTTCCTTTACACTCTTACTGACATCAGTCTAGATTTTTTTTAAAGTATGCACTTCTTTTCAACTTGACAGCTATAACAGCTTTCCTTAGTTATTGTTTTTGTCTCCAGTTTATTTTCCTCTGATAACATCAGCTCCCTACTCAAAAATCTCCACTGCCTTCCCATTGCCTACTGAATAAAAGTTTTTAGATTGAAGATCCTTGAGTGCAATCTACCTTGCTAGGCCAATTTCATATGAGTCAGCCTCACGTAGTCTACATTTTAGCCAACAAACAAACAAAAAAAACCCAACAACAATAAAAACACACACATTTTTCATCTTCTGGTCTTATCCTGCCCTCTTCTCTGTTTGTGCCTTTATTCCTTCCTTTATTTTGGGATGAATTCTGTTCCCATGTTTCTCTATTGGAGATTCCTCTGCCCTTCTCCAAGGACCCGCTCAGCTTTTCCTTCCTCCAAAAAGCTTTCCTGGCAACTCCTTGACCAGGTAAGGATGCTCTCAAATCTCACAGCATTTCAGACCTATCTATCTTCAGCACTTATATTCCGGCTTAGTATCATACTTATATGTATGTGTCATTTTCTTCTCATATATTGTAAATGCCATAAAAATAAAGGCTGTATCATAACTCATCTTTAGGTTCCCTGTACTTAGAACTGTGATATATTCTACATAAATAAGTGCCTTTAAAGTGATTGCTGAATTGGATTAAGAAGTAGCAGGAAGTAAGGTAATTTTTCTTCTATTTCAAGAAGTCAGATTTTAAAAAAATGAATTAAGAAAAAGTGTTTTCTAAGTGTAAAGCTGATTTTCAGTTTTGAAAATATTCTTGAGCAATTATAAAATCATAGGTGAAAAAAACATCTTTGTAAGTAGACAAATTTCTTAACAACCTCACTGCCAACAAAATTGTTAAGATATTCCAGGATTCTGTTTTTGCAACAAGGTACAGAAATGCGAAATAAAACAACAAGTTTAGGTCACTCTATATTGATAGTAAGAAATGATAAACTCATTGGCAAATCATACAGGCTTAAGTAACCTTTCCTTATCTGGGAAAAAAATAAAAAAGAATAATGCCATACCTGTATGATAATGTAGATCAAGTGATCTCGAGGTCTCTCATAGCTTTGATCATAATTAGTATTCATCTAGCATTTTAAAATTTGCAAAGTATTTTATATACATTATTTTACGTGAGCCTTGAAACCTCAATGAAGTAATTAATCAACACAGATTATTGTTATTGCTATATTATAGATGATGAAACTGAGGTTTAGAGTGTTTCATCAACCTACTCTATGGTAACACAACTAGTCAAGTGCAAGAGACAGAGTTCAAATACAAGTCTTCCTCAAATACAAGTCTTCCTGATTCCAAGGCCAGAACATGCAAGGTGCATCGAAAGTCTTAGTGCAGTTTTAAGCTTTAATAGCTCACTGTACTAACTAAGCCTCTCATTGCCACAGATTTAGGATCTGTGGTTTTTTGATAAATAATGGATCAGATAACTCAGAGGATCGGGTCACTTCTGAAGATGCACAAAATTAAGCCATTATGGTACCACCAGGCACTGAAATGGTCAGCATTTTAATAGACTGCAAGAGAGAATATACATCTCAAAAGGCCTACCTTGGACACAGGCAGTTTAAAAAAAATTGTTTTTGTTGTTGTTTTGCTTTTAAAAGAAACACATTGACTTTATCTAAAAAAAAATAATCTTCCTTAGTTGGTCAAGTTCATTTGAGTCCAATCACAGTGAGATATTATAGATAAAATGTATGTGTGTGTGTGTGTGTGTGTGTGTGTGTACGTGTACAGTTAACTGACATAAAACAAGTAAACATTGAAAGCGAGAGATCTTGCATTTGTACATTAAGTACTAAACATATGGTTTCCATTTTGTAGTCCTGGCTAGGGCATGCTGGGTAGTTCAGTTGCTTTTCATCTGGAAAGCTACAAAGAGCTAAGAAAACTGGGCTGAAACAAGATCCATTGTCTAACTATCATCTAGCACTAATGTATACCTCAGTACTTAATCAATATGTGTTTAACAATTCGTGAGGAAGGACTTCACAACTTAAATTTGCTTTTAGATCTGACTTCATATGCATATAGTACATGTGTCTTTCATTTGTAGAGAGTATTTTTCTGTTATTTATTTGAAACAGGGGTAGGTCCTGCAAACTATTGTCTTACTGCACTAGGGTTGAATTTTACTACCACATCACTCATTTAAAAAACTAACTGCCTCTTTGAAGTTTAAAAGCAAATATTCTGCTACATGAAGAAATGCAGCCCTCAACTCCCTCCTATATCTTGATTTGTTTATAAAACTTCATACTTTACTGAATATAATTTGCAAATTTTTAAGAAGTTTTTTGCTTTTTTGGGAAATTATATTTTAGGGGATATAATTTTCACAGACACAATAGCTACTGGTAGACGTGTGGAGATATGGGACAAAGATGAAGGACAGCACGCCAAAAGTGCCTTTAAAAATACATAGCTGTATTCAACACTAGCAATGTAATTTGTCTAACTGCCACCTACAGATGCAACGTCATCCTATTATTGGTCTCGTTGGGGTGGCTGATTGGGAGGGCAGGATGCCTACAAAACACAACTAAACACCAGAAAAACCATTCCGAGTTTGTAGCCTACCTTTGCCATCTGGGCTTGGACTCCAGTAGCCTTTAGAGCTGAGACTGCTTTCTGGGCAGCAGCTGGACTGTCAAAATCCACAAAACCATAACCTGAAATTAAAAACACACATAGACTGAGAAAAAGCCATTGAAATGAGAACATACATACGTGTGTGTGTGTGTGTGTGTGTGTGTGTGTATGTTTGTGTGTGTGTGTGTGTATGTTTGTGTGTGTGTGTGTGTGTGTGTGTGTGTGTGTGTGTGTGTGTGTGTGTGTGTACTGCTCTATAAACCTTCAAGTTCAATATATGGGTATATAAACCAATAAGCACCAGCTATTATTATCAACATCAATACTGACACTAAGAAAAGGAAGAATGGATAAAAGAAAAAACCCCAAAATGCACTATCATCATATTTTCTACAGAAGATAAACAATATAAACAAAAGGCCAAATGAAGAGGCCGAAAGAGGCCAGGAAACACCAAGGGTGAGTGAACACTTGCTCTTCTTGTTAAGCTGGGGGAAACAGCAGCCAAGGTCAATGCAGGACCTTCATCACTTCAGGCCTAAACTATTGGAATAGCTCTCTGGTTGGTCTTTCTATTCAAGTCTCTCCCTACTCTAGTCTATTCTCCACTTGGTTGCCAAAGTGTTCTCCCTGAAGTGCAGCTCTGACCATGTCATCTTTTTATTCAATAAACTCTAGTGGCTACCTTTGACCTCCAGGATCAAATATTTGGCTTTTATAGCCCCTTATAATCGAGCCCTACTTCCTACCTTTCCAGTGTTTTTATACTTTGCTTCTTTCTATGTACTCTACCCTTTCTCCTCCTTATACAACTCCACCTCTCAACTCATTATTTTCACTAGTGTCCTCCATGTTCTTCCTCCTCACATCTGCCTCTGGCTTCCCTGACTTCCTTGAAGTCTCATTTAAAATCTCACCTTCTACAAGGTCTTTGCTATTTCCCTTAATGTTTTTGCCTTCCCACTGAGGAATTTACTTTGTACATGTCTTATATAGAGTTTTCTGCATTTAGTCTCCTCCACTAGAATGTAAATACCCATGGGGCAGTGACTGATTGTGTCTTTCTTTGAATCTTTAGTGCTTAGCAGTGCCTGCAACATAGTAAGCACTTAATTCAGTCAGCTTGTTGAAGGAATGACACTCCAAAGCTTTGTTCTCAAGGAGATAAATTACTATTGGAGAGACTGGCCTGACAATCCCCTCAGAACAAACCAAATAGGTGAAGGATGATTATGGTCCACCCTGTTACAGAGTTGGATGGTCCAACCATTGAGCTAAACCATGTGTGGGGAACCTGTGGCCACATGTGGCCTTCTAGATCTTTTGACTGAGTCCAAATTTCACAGAACAAATCTTTTTATTAAGGAGATTTGTTCAGTGAAGTTTGGATTCAAAGGGCTGCACTTAAGGACCTAGAGGGCCACATGTAGCCTCAAGGCCTCAGGTTCTCCACCTCTTAGTTAAACCATCAGTATGTATATCTTATACTGCAGATGGACCACCATATTCTGAAGGGGATTCAAATCCATTATGGAGCCCAAACTACAGAAAACTAAAGGCAGGAACAAGGGATCCTGTGCTTCCTAGGATTCAGAGATTAAGAGCTAGGCTCCATAATCAAGAGTATTTTCTGAGTATGCCTTGTGTGCCTTTTTCATGAGATTCTATGCAAAAAATCCCACTATTTTAGGATTGTACTATGCAATTGGCATAGAGAATGAGTTCAGCTTCACTGGGAAAATAGAACATCAACTATTTACTGACCCAAGAAAATTGGCCAGAAAATTGATAACCCTTCCCTGCCATGACTCCCTGCTCAGTTATCTTAGAGCCCAGGAGAATAGGGTTGATTCATCTGGTTCTTCCTCTGTGCTATGGCAGGTAAACTCCTAGCTCCTACTCTCATCTTTGAGTCAGAATTGACCACTGAAAGTTACAAACCTATTGTCTTCCCTCTACCCTAGCCCCCCAATCTTCAAATTTCTCATTCTTAACCATTTTAGACCTAGTACCCACCTTTCATATCTTTTGTTTCTATTCCCAAACCTACTGTGACAGAATTCATGTTTAAGAATGATATCAAATTATTAATCTATCAGATGCTAAAGTATAGTCTCTGGTGATTTTTCAGATGGAGAAATAGTGGAAGATGTGAAGGAGGCTGAGGCATCTTACCATGTGGTTAGTACTTGGGGAGAAAGTGTATAGTGAAAAGATTGCTAGTTTGGGAGTCAAAGGACTTGAGTTTGAAGCCTAGCTCTCCAGGTTCTTCACATCTTCTCCCAGTCCAACATTCCTGTCCTCACTTACTTTCCTTTGTAATTTTGATCTTATGGTTAAGCTACACTCTATCATCTACTTTCAAATCACTCTCCCTGTATTGTACCACCACGCACAGTTCACCAGTCTCAATTCCAGGTTACTTTCATTGTTTTCTAAGCTGTGACTCTCCTGATGCTGAAGACTGGGATGAAGAATAATTCAGCTGATTGGGTATCATATCTATGTATTTTAGTTGATTTTTAAAGGATGGGTAGGAATTCTGCCCACATGTGAAGAGGTAGAGGCAAGCTATTACTGGTATAAGATACAATATAAGGAAGGGCTGAAGAGAAGTCCACTCTGGCTGGAGCCAAGATTGTGCTGAGTGGTGGAATAGCAAGAAAAAAGGAAGGTGTCAAAAATGTAGAGGTGCTTGAATGCCAGACAGAGTTTTAACTTCCCAGGGTAGCATACAGGAAGCCATGGAAAGTTTCTGACATGACTATACACAGGGAAGATTAGTCTTGCTACAAGATAATGATTTTTTTTGGCCAGAGTAAATCATTATTCAGGTATTAAGGGGTTTTAGCTACAGTATTCAGGTATTAAGGGGTTGCAGATTGTATCTTCCCAAGGAGCTGCTACACCCGTGAAACAACAAGATCCCTAATGTATTGAATGTATTGAAGTACTATGGGATGAGAGACAGGTTATAAAGACCTTTTGATCACTGAGATAATATTCAGTCATTAGAGTTTTTAGTAAGTAGACGGGTGAAGAGGGTAAAATGGTAAGACACGGGCTTTAGGGAAATTACTTTGGTAGCTGTGTGGATTAGAGATTGGTGTGGAGAAAGTTTTGAAGGAAGGAAACCAATGAGTAGGCAATCGCAATAGTCCAGGCATAAGCTGGTGAGGGCCTAAACTAGATGAGGCTATATGGGCCATCCAAGAGATGTGGAAATACAAACGATAAGCTCTGGTAACGGATAGGGCATGTAGAGTGAGAATGAGGAGTCAAGGATGACACTTGCATGAATGGAAGAACAGTAGTAGCCTTACAGGAAATAGGAAAGATAAAAAACAAGGTATGAAAAAAAATTATGATTCTGGTTATGGATATTTTGAGTTTTACATGCCTACAGAACATACCAATTGAAATATCTAAATAGGCAGTTAGTGATGCAGGAATGCACTTGGAAAGAAACACCAGAGCTGGATGTAGAGATTTGGAAATCATCTATATAAAAGGTGTGGTGGTCAAGTACCTGCCTAGTCAGAAATTTCAAGATAAAGATATATTAACCTTACATGAAAAATGGAGGACGGGGGAGAGGAAGAGAGGGAGAAAGAGTTAGAGGTGGGGACGAATAGATCAGGAAAAGGAGAGTGATAAAGGGAGATAGATGCTCTCTTCTCTGGATATGCATCTTCAATGTGAAGGAAAGTCTATTAAGGCCTGTCAAACCTGACTACCCTTATCTATTTCTGCTGATTTGTGGAACCAAATACCACCAAAATGAACTTGCTATTATATTTTGGGCAAGAAACTAAAAACTTAAGAGGTAGAGACGACAATTGCATCATAATTGTCAGTTGAAGGCAGATATGGAAAGTGAATAGGAAGGTTAATAAGAAGATGGTGTCTGAGAATGGGATTTGGATGTCTGGATCATGACTTTAAAAGGAATATTCGGCTCTTGGCCAAGGGTGGAGTTCACTGAACAAGAGGGTTTTAAACAAAAAAGAGAGAGAGAGACAGAAAACTACCCACATGTCTGCCAAGCCAAATACCACAAAGAGAAGCAGGAGCAACACTGGAAGAAAAAGTATCAGTGCAGACCAGTATTTCACAGGAGATATCCAAGATGAGAATCAGCAGCAAAACCCAAGGCTATAAATGCCTACATGAACTTCATTGTCCAAATTGAAACAAAATAACAACAAAAAATGTGTGTGTACATAAATACACATTTACATACATATACATATAAACACACACATCTAGACATATATATGTGTGTATGTTTGTGTATGATGGCCATTTTACTGACACTGATCTTTGAAAGATAGTGGAACAACATGACAAGCACCAGTAAAGAAAAAATGAGACCTAGATTTTTTTTAAAGGGAGAGAAAAAAGTTAGGAAACTCTAGGTTAGTGAGCTTAACTTTTAAATTTTGCAAAATTACATAAATTATTAAATTGGAAAGGATTGCAAAGATACTGTGTGATAGAGTGATATCCAGGATCCAAAGTTATTTGATAGGTAAAAATGGTGGACTGAATCTAAGTGGATGAATTTAAATGGGACATATACAAAGTTCTACATTTGTGTTAAAAAGAAAAAATTTAACAAGTAAAAGATAAGGATTGCATAGTTAGAGAACTTTGTGTCTGAAAAAAGCTGTAAGTCAATAATGTGACATCACAGTCAAAAAAGCACTGTAAGATGTATTAGGAAAGGCCAGTGCCCAGGTCAAGGTAGGTGATAGTTGTGCTTTATTCTGGGCTAGGTAGACTATATAAGCTTTTTGTTCTGTTTTATGGCCATTGACAAACTAAAGTGAAATGAGGATGTTGAAGAAAGAACACGCCCCATGAGGATAGGATAAAGAAACTGAGGTTATTTAACTCGAGGTTCAAAGGACTTCACAAGTTAGAAGGAACCTTAGAGGACATCTTATGCAATTTGAATCTAAATAAGAATCTTTTTTACAAGTCACCAAACAAAAAAACCAGTCAACTTTTGCTTGAAGTTCTCTAGTGAGGTCGTAGGACTAATTAACTTTCCTTTCACCTAAACCCTCATCTCTTCTGGCCTTCACTATTGCCCTCTAGGGTACCATCATCTTCCCAATCATCCAGGCTAACAATCTTGATGTAATCAACTCCTCACTCATGCTCATCACATATGTCAAATCTTTTGCCAAGTCTCATTTCTACACTCATAAGATTTCTTCTATAAATCTCTCTACTCACATGTCCACCACCCTGTGGCCATCATCACCATACTTTATGACTCTTGCAACAGCTTTCTAATTGGTGTCCCTTTCCATCTTTCCCTACTCCACCCTCCACTCAACTGCCAAAGTGATCTTAAAGCACGCTCTGATCTCCTCCTGGGGTGGGCAGTTAGGTGACACAGTGGAGAGACCACTGGACCAGGAATCAGGATTATTTGAGTTCAAATCTGTTCTCAAATTACTAGTTGTATGAGCCTGGGCAAATCACTTAACTGCTGTCTGCCTCAGTTTCCTCAATTGTAAAATGGAGCTAATAATAGCATCCCCCTCTCAGTAGTGTTATAGTATTTGTGAAGTGCTTGGCATAATGCCTGGCACATCATGGCCATTTAACAAATGCCTTCTTCCTTCCTTCTTTCTTTCTCCCTCTCCCTACCATACACACTTAATAAACTCCAGCAGTTCCTTAATTCCAGGATCAAATATACACAGGCATTTAAAGCCTTTTATAAGTAGGCCTCTTCCAATCTTTCCAATCTCCTTACATTTGATTCACCTCCATATATGCTATGTCAGGGGTGGGGAACCTGCGGCCTTGAGACCACATGTGGCCTTCTAGGTCCTCAACTTCACAGAACAAACCTCCTTAATAAAAGGATTTGTTCTGTGAAACTTGGACTCAGTTAAAAGGCTACACCCAAGAACCTAGAAGGCCACATGTGGCCTTGAAGCTGCAGGTTCCCCACCCCTGCTCTATATTATAACTGTGCTGGCCTACTAGCTGTTCCTCACACACAAGACTATTATCTCTTGACTTTGCATGAGCTATTTCCTATGCCGAGGAAGCTCTTCCCTTTCAACTCAACCTTCGAACTTCCTCGATTTCCTTCAGAACTCAGCTCAAATCCCATCTTCGGCAGGTGATTTTTCCTGGTCTCCCTCCAGCTCCACCCTTCACTCCTGTTCTTCTAGTACCTGCCTTCCCCCTAATACTACCTTTCAGCTAATCTTGTGCTTATCTAAGTTATTTATATGTATTTTCCACCATTAAAATGTGAGCTCCTCGAGGTTATGATGGTATATGGATCTTTCTTTGTATCCTTAATGCTTAGCACAGATTCTGGAATCTGGTAAAATGCTTACTAAATTCTTGTGGACTGACATTCCAATCCCATATTTTTATGCCTTTCCATGGAATCCTGTACTCAAAGATTCCAAAGAATAGATCTGGAAGGTGGCGAAAATGGATAACACATTGCTACCCATTCATCACCATCTTGAAATCCCCAAAAGGAGAGAATAGCTCTAATATGTAAGAGGTGAGATGTTTCTTATATGAAAGGGAAAAGTGAGAAGCGACCTGGGAGGGGGCTGCCATATCTAGAAAGAGATTTGAATGACTCTTCTTCCCTTTCTAGTCAGCTGTAAAGACTATCTTTTAATAAATCTCTTTTGGACTCTAGTGCAAATGCTGAGTAATTTAAAGTAATCATTCATTTGGTGAGACATTTGCCACCAAATGAAGGAAGTGAAATGGGTAGAAGTAGCTGATTGTGTCTATTTGAAAACTTCTTGAACTTACAAAGAAAGCCCTCATTTCAAATGCTATAGGAAATGGCAATTAAAGATTCAGTCTACTGTCTTACTCTGTTGAGTTCTTTTTGGATCCTAACCCTTTGACCTGGTATTAGCTGTTTTTCCCATTTTTGAATCATATGTAAATCTAATAAGCACTCTATCCATGCTTTCATCTAAATCACTGATAAAAATGCCCAAAAGAACAAAGTCAAGGACAGCTCCCTGGGGAAATCCACAAGCAAACTCCTTCTAAGTGGACTTTGACCCATTAATGAAGACTCTTTTGGTCTAGTCATTCAACCAATTCCAAGTTTAACTGTACTATTTTCTAGTCTGTATCTCTTCACCTTTTCCATAAATACAGACAGCATAAAAGGCTTTAGCAGATGCCAACTCCTGCCTGTTAGTTTGGTTGGTAGCTGGTAGATTCTCCTCTCTCTCTCTCTCTGTCTCTCTGTCTCTCTCTCTCTCTCTCTTGGTTCCCCCCACCCCCATCCTTCCCCTCAGTCCACACATATAATAGCTATCTTAAAATATTTAAAACACTGTTTCATGGAAGAGGAAGAACTCTTCCTAGAACTAGGTAGAAAAGGGAGAGATTTCATAAGAGTACACTTGGGCTTGAGAAAAGAAAAACTTCCTCATATTGAAAGCTGTTTAATAGTGGAATGACCTGCCTCAGGACCCAGAAAGTTCCTTTTCCCTGCAAATTTTCAAACACAGGCTGAATAACCAAATGGACATTTGTTGGCAATGGTGGAAAGACAATACTTGTTCAGGTACAGTTGTTCTAACTGATCTCTGAAGTCTTTCCAATTTAGAGATTCTGTGAGATGTTAAAATTGGATCAAAAGAGATAATAATATGCATAAAAGGCCCTTGCAACTGTAATGTACCATTTTAGAAATTTAAGCTGCTATTATTATTTTTAAGCATGAGAGTAGGTCCTGGAGCCATGACTTCACTGATAAAGGAGACACCCTCCACCTTATAGTCTCTGAGAGTTGCATAAGTGACTTGCCACCAGGCTTTCCTAGCTTCAAGGCTAGCTCTCCATCCACTACACAATGCTATTACTATTGTTTTTATTACATATAAACATCCAAAATAAATGGATCCTAGCAATTAACTTTATGTTTTTCCAAAATTCTAAAACTTGACTCTTCTTCCATCAAAAATGTCTTTAACAAGATACATAGATTATATATGGGCTTGCAGATTTTTTCAAAAATGCTTCTTTAATTTTAAGAATTTTGAGGAAGAGACAGAAATCTGACTCATACTCCCATTTCAGTATAAAGAAAATGCCAGCCTTCTTAGAAGAGGCCTCACCATGGAATGGACTTAAATTTGCCCTGTTTTTCGACTGTTAAAAGCAAATGCTTAGCCCATATCTAAAATGCTCTGGCTTAAAGATGAGAGCCTTGCTTCTCTTGACCATTCCTATTAACTTTATTCCCATTCATGGGGCAGAGGTTATATTGAAAAGTCAATTGAATCCATTCTTCCCTTTTCCTAGAAATCATGCTCCCTATTGTCAAAATGCCTGGAACAGAAAGCATGAGTGTAAGCTCCTAGGCCCCTCCCCTTCTAGTCTTCCACTTAAATTACTCATGAAACTAGATGAGATCATCCTAATTACACTGAATTCTGAAGGTCAGTGCACTAAACTAATGCATCAGGGTATTTCAAAGAAGTCTATGACCTCCCCCTTCCCTATTATAATGTGGTCAGTGAAAATGATTCTCCCCTCCTTACCTCCAATATATTCAACAGACATACAGCAAAGAACAATTGGGAGTACTGAAACATGTAATTAAGTACAGCTTAAAACTACTCTGTCCTAATTAACAGAGACAATTTGCACAATATGTAATCTTTTCAGTTTCTTAGTATGGCAGAATGGTCTTCAGTAAGCAGCTCTAATCTTCTCAAGCACAGAAAAAAAGCTGTTTTCTAACTCTATTTTCCTTTTAAAAGCGGGGGCTAAATGCCAACCAGTGTTTGGCATGTTAACTTCACTGGAGTCAAATCTGAAGTTCTGGCAAAAGACTTGCTGCTGTTGGGCAGCCAGCCAACTCCATCAGGGACAAACGTAACCCATATGTTGATATTGTGCAAGAGAGAAACTTGGAAATAAATAAGGATTGGGGTCCCCTCCCTGTTTGTTAATGGAGGTGGTTTTGAAATGAAAGCTCAATCTTAAATCCCATCATTTCAATCAGTCATGAGGCTCTACTTTAGAAAATGACCAATGAAAACATACCTTTGCATTTATTGGTTGTTTTGTCCAAAATTGCCTTTGTGGAGACAATTTTTCCATATCTGAAACAAAAAAGGGAGAAAATCAAAGTTATATTCATGGAACCCTTTGAAAACAACAAAACTCACTGAGCACATCCTTTCATCATTTTGGGACATCTATCTGTTTATGTTACAAAGTTATGTACAAAACAGATTTTTCTCAGGGACAGAATTTGAGCTCAATGATCTTAGAAAATCATGGCAAGACTTGCATGAAACAATGAAAAGTGAAATGAGCAGAACCAAGAGAACATTGTATACTGTAACAGCAATATTGTTTTAAAAATGACTTTGGGTAAATAAGTCATTTTGACCATTATAAATACCCAAATTAAGTACAAAGGATATATGAAGATGCTATTTACATCCAGACAAAGAACTGATAAACAGAAGGATGTATAGAATAATTTTACATATATATATATACATATAATATATATATTATATTATATATATATATATGTATATATACACACACCTATTGGGTCTAACAATAGCCATCTCTAAGGCAGGGGAGGGAAAGGGGAATAAAAAGAAATTTACATGGAAACTTTATTATAAATTTAAAAGGAATAGCAAGTTGTACATAATAGATTTGCAGTTTCATGTGCAATCATCTTTTTGATTATACTATTTTATGGAAATGCTTTATTCCATAAATTTAAAAAATAAAAAATAAATCATAAATCAAAATTAAAGTTGGGGTATGGTGGCGCATGTCTATAATCCTTGCTGCTAGGGAGGCTGAAGGCTGGCAGATTGCTTGAGTTTGGGAGTTTTGAGGTGCAGTAGGGCTAAATCTCATCCAGGTTTTGTTTAGTAAGCCCCCGGAAGTAGGGAGCCATCAGATTACTTATGGAGGTTCCCAGGTCAGAAATGGAGAAGGTCAAAACTTCAGTACTGATCAAACCCTGAACTTCCAGCCTGGGTCATGTAGCATGCCCCAGGCGCAAAAGAAAATGAATCAGAGCTAAAATGAAATGAATAGGTTGGCTTCAAATTTGACTCTCCAGTTTCTATTCTGAAGTTTAGTTTTGAAGGAGGGGATGCTTTGCATGTCAACCCTGGGACAACAGCATGAGATTTAAAGGGAATATAAAGCTTTTCAAGATATTTTGTTATAATAGTGCTGTCAAATTATACAGCCACATCTGAAGACAGGGCTGTACAATTGTCTAGGGAATTGAAAACTCTCTATCTAGCCATTATGAAAAGGGCACCCCCTAAAATGTATTCATTTCATTGCTACAGCAGCTCATGAGTCCAATGTATAGACCAAGGTGTATAAGGAGTACAGATAGAGATTAAATCACGTATTTTTTTAAATGTCTCACATACAGACAAAACTAAAATACTGCTAGATACTTAAACAACGCCTGATTTTCTCAAACACACCTATAGCAGACCATTTAAAACAGATCTTTCACATGTACAGAACAGAAATAATGGATGGTAGAATGTGTTACAGATTCTTAACATAATCAATAATGCAAATAGACCAGTGGGGAATCATTCATTTCTCCAGTTCAATGAAAAGTGTCCAAATTCCTCAGTGTGCCATTAAAAAAAATAAAAATGAGGCTTTTTTTTAAAAAGATGAAATTTCAAGAATTGAATTTTAACATATAAAGTCTTACTTAATTACTCTAAAGGACAAAGAGTCCAATCTGGAGAATAAATGATATTACTGTGTGGTCTTTATAGAATGAGAAAATCCAGACTGTTAATAGAGCAAAGATCACAAAAAATAAGAGCTGGAGATCAGTAAGCCCAATGTCTTAATTTTATAGATGATGAATTAGTGTTCATCAATACCATAACTTCTCACAGAGGAAATATGGATAAAGCCTAGTATTTACATTAAGTTTTAAATAAAATTACACTTAAAGATATACATTTGACAACATTTTTTTAAGAAAAGAAAAGCATTTTCAAGTTTGAAATACAACTGATGTGGGACCCATTCTAGGTAACTGACTGATGTGGTACAAAAAGCATTAGACTTAGAAAGTAATAGAGATTTGGACTCAAAATTGAACTCTAAGTGAATAATCTTCAGGGGCAGGGTGAGTCAGGTGACCTTTCTGGCCTTCAGGTAACTCATCTTTAAAATAGGGAAAATAATAATTGTGCTACCTACCTCAGTTTATGAAGCTCAAATGAGACAACTACCAAAGATTCTATAAACGTATCATTATTTTTATTCGTATCTTTGGGCCTTATGGGAGATAGGGATAAGGGTGAGGGAAGGGGAACCATATAATTTCTAATGTCTCTTTATCTCTACTTTCCTATTTATTAGCCCTCAATATCTTACATCATCCCTTATTGTATTTCTTATGATTTGAGATCTAGAGAAATGAAATAGATGCTGAACCATTCTGATTGATGCAGTGTTCAATAACTTTAATTTTTATAAATGTTAAGAGATTGTATGAATGAATGAAAAATGAACAATGTTTTGCTAAGAAACAGCTGCGTTGACCTATCAATAGTTTCTTCCCTCTCCTTCCCCCTACTTTATTTCTGTGTTGACATATAACCATATGATTACTGTCTGGGTATGAACATGAAATTAATATGAGAATTAGATAACAATTCAAGAGGCAGTAGTATCTCATCTCCAAATTCTCTGTGGAAATGCATGAATTCATAAAAACATCACCATATACACCACTATACAAAAAAAAAATTAAAAAATAAATCAAACCTGAAAGGAAAATTCACTTGGGCACTCATCACCAATATCACAAAATTTCAGTCAAGTCTACAGAACCTGCAGGTAGCTTATTCGGATTGCAAATACGTATGTACTACTTGGAAGCCAATACAGCTGTATTGGTTATACTACTCAACTTGTTTGGTTCATTCTTCATTCCCAAGTCAGATATATTTCCTATGGGAAATAGGGAAGTAGCATCACTCTGCCAACAAGTATTTATTAAACATCACTGTGCTGTTCACTAATCTGAATGACAAAGGCAAGGTAGGCAAACAACAACATTTCTAAGACCAGGTCTTAGACTATTTTGGTTTTTTCAACATCACACAACATCAGAGGCTGTTAGAGTAGAGAGGGATCTCAGAAGACATCTGCTTTAACTCCCATATAAAGGTGAATCTCTATGACAATTCTGAAAAGTGATCATTTGGCCTCTATTGAAGACTTATTTGAAACAAATTTGCACTGTACTTAGCCAAAGTGAAGCCATGTTTTGTCAGGTAGTTCAGATGCCAATTCAGATGCCAAGAAACATTGAATAATAATTATTCATTGATTATAACATAAATATTACACAAACTTAATATAAATTTAACTAAAACTTAGTCCTCTTATAATCAAGTCCATTGTCCCAATTCTTATCGGATTTGTAGAATGGAATGTTAGTTAAACCTGTTTGACCTGGTTCAGATATTCAACTAACTAGCAATAAATGTGAATGAAGGGTGCTATTTACTCTGTGCTTAACTATGAAGGGAAAGCTCTGTTACCTGTTTTAAATTTTTTTAAATTATTTACTTATTTATTCACATAGTAAACACTTAAGATCTTTTCCTTAAAGGTGACATTAGCAGGTTTCATATGGCTATAATCTTTGGTTCCATTTTGTTTAAGATTTTCTAGGACTGTCTCTAAAAATAATGATGGCTTTGTAGGCAATATGAAGGATCTTGTTCCAGTCTTTGGCTGAGGTTGAAGTACACAGGGTCATGGTATATGGATGAAGAAATGAGTCTTTTTCATTCACATGGAGAATGTTTTACCCCAAAACAAAAGAGTAAGGGGAAAGTAACTATAATTACCCTACCTATGTTCCACCTTTCCCTTTTCTCCAAACTCTTTAATATGCCCCATTATGTGCCATTTTAGAAGTGTGTGTGTCCATGTGCACATATACATACACCCACACTTGCCTAACCCCCAGGCATAAACATCAAATTTACTATTTACATTTTATCTAATAGTTTAAAACAATAAGACCAAGACATAAAGAAGTATTTATGATATACCAATTGTATGAAAGCTCTCTCATTCAAAGTCACCATTAACTATCACTGCAACTGCAGACATCTCAATTCTGGAAACACAATTCTGCTATTCAATTCTCTCAGGGCACCAACTAAAGTAATTTCTTGAGAATTAGCTCCCCATTTCTTTGAATATAGGGATTAACTCTGTTCTCTTAGGAAATAAGTTCTTTTAGTATTTTTTCTCTGACCTCTCTTCGGCCATCACAGTTAATAGTCCTTATAGAAAACAAGTAAAACTCTACAGTAACAGTACCCATAATGTCTGTGGCTGTAACAGGTGGTTTTCAAGATACAAGTCAAAAAGAAAAGTCACTGCCTTCTGTGAACTTGAATTCAACCCCCACTTAAATCAAGTAGTTCACTGACCTTTCCCCTGCTCTTATTCTTCTTGACTAGGCTTTGTGAAATTCCCTCCTTCCTTTGCTTCCTGCTACTCTCATAGTTTCTGCCTTTATATTACAACACTATCATTTTCTCAGTCTTCCAAGTCTAAAACTTCAGTCATCTTTGATTTATCCCTTTCCATTGTAGTCACAAATTCTATTGAATTATACTTTGAAACACCTACTTCTCATATCTACTCCCATCAACATTCTAATCTAGGCACACAATATATCAGTCTGAACTACTTCAATAGTCCTATACCTGATCTCAGAATTAAGTTTCTCCCACTCTCCAATCCAATCTGCATATCTCTGCCAGATCAGTCTTTTATTACACTACCTACCATGCTTTAAAAAAAAAACACCAAAAAAAAACCCCCCCAGCAATTAAATGGATCAAATTTTCCTACTGCATCAAGATAAAACTCCCCAGGCCTAGAAGACTCTCCACAACCTAATTTTACCCTAACAATTCAATCTTACTGTTCACTGTTCCCCAATATACATCTTCTGCTCTAGTCTTCCCACTGTCACACAAATATATTATCTTCACTAAAATTGTCATCTTCTGAAAATTCTTTAAAGCCCTTTCTCCTCCTCCTATCC